GCTTTGTTATTTAATGAACTTGATCCTTTACTAGTATATATATGTTGCTATATGTTTTTGCTTATGAGGGAAGCGCGATTTCTTTTTATTTTTGAGTGCGATGCGACGTTTGCACCGAACTGTTTATTATAGGATTTTTCTTAATGATTGGTGGCCCATTTTTTTACATGATGGTGGGGATTTTTTTTTCTTTGGCATTGGGGGGTCTTGATTGGTAGTGTGATTTTTCGTGATTGGCAGAGAGTTAAAAATACAGTGGCAGTGTAATTTCAGATGTTGGTAGAAGTATTAAATTCATGGCAGTTAGTCACTTCGGTGAGAAGCATACTGTTGCAGTCAAGCACTTCTGCACCCTCAGTGACGTTGACAAATTCACACATTTTGTCATTGGTTAGGGATATGTCTTCATTGATAATGACAGACTTGATTCGAAACGTATCCATTTAACAATAATATTGTTCATGACTACAATAATAAATGTTTTTAGACAAGGCAGTGGTCCAGTACAGTATAAGGAGCTAAAGTGAAAGACTTTTTTACAAGACACCTGCCTATAAGATACAGGGTAAGGTTATAAGACACCTGCCTATAAGATACAGGGTAAGGTTACAAGACACCTGCCTAAGAGATACAAGGTAGGGTTACAAGACACCAGCCTAAAAAATACAAGGTAAGGTTACAAGACACCAGCCTAAAAAATACAAGGTAAGGTTACAAGACATCTACCTAAAAAATATAAGGTAAGGTTACAAGCTACCTGCCTAAAAATACAAGGTAAAACTTATCTCACCGGCTACAACCCACTGTGAATTGGCTACAACCCACTATGAGTTGGCTACAAACTGCTGTGAGCTGGCTACAATCCACTGTGAGCTGGCTACAACCCACTATGAGCTGACTACAACCCACTGTGAGCTGGCTATAACCCACTGTGAGTTGGCTACAACCCACTATGATTTGGCTACAAACCACTGTGAGCTCGCTGTGAGCTGGCTACAACCTACTGTGAGCTGGTTTAATGTAATGACCTTTAGGCAGATGTCTGGCTACCTTACCTTGTATTTTTTAGGCAGGTGTCTTGTAACCCTACCTTGTATTTTTGATGCAGGTGTCTTGTAACCCTACCTTGTATTTTTGATGCAGGTGTCTTGTAACCTTACCCTGTATCTTATAGGCAGGTGTCTTGTAGCCTTACCTTGTATCTTTTAGGTAGGTGTCTTGTAAAAAAGTCTTTCACTTTAGTTCCTTATACTGTACTGGACTATTGCCTTGTCTATGAATAACATTATTTATATACATATATACATACATTCCTAATATAAATATATGTTTTTTATATACAATCTTATATACTAGAATACTTTTATTCATTGGCTACACAAATGTTACTATATATAGATCTGTATTTAAAGCACAATTACTATATTAGGTATCAGGTTACACAATTTATGAGTATAAACATTTACCCAGATACATATTACTGTTACCCTTAACTATAACGTCTTTCTATAAACATTTATTATTGTAGTCACGAATAATATTATTGTTAAATACATACGTTTCGAATCAAATCTATCATTATCGATGGAAACATATCCCTAACCAATGACAAAATGTGTGAATTTGTCAACGTCACTGAGGGTGCAGAAGTGCTTGACTGCAACAGTATGCTTCTCACCGAAGTGACTAACTGCCATGAATTTAATACTTCTACCAACATCTGAAATTACACTGCCACTGTATTTTTAACTCTCTGCCAATCACGAAAAATCACACTACCAATCAAGACCCCCCAATGCCAAAGAAAAAAAATCCCCACCATCATGTAAAAAAATGGGCCACCAATCATTAAGAAAAATCCTGTAATAAACAGTTCGGTGCAAACGTCGCATCGCATTCAAAAATAAAAAGAAATCGCGCTTCCCTCATAAGCAAAAACATATAGCAACATATATATACTAGTAAAGGATCAAGTTCATTAAATAACAAAGCAACAATTTCCTTTCTATAGCCATGTATCCTATTAATTACAGTATTCTATGGCAAAAGAAAGAGATGATAATACTGCCTTAAGTGCGCGCTAGTAGTATCCTGTTTCTGTTTGTTCTGTTATTGCTGAAAAGTGACTATTATATTATTGTGTTGTGAACTTTGGTATTGTGCTGTAGGTGGATGAAACAAATATATAGAAGATACTTAACTATCAGAAGTAAGATTTGGCCAAATCGTAATATGCAAGCTTTTCAACCTTTGCTACTGTGTTGCGCGTGTTTTTCAATCGTTTTTTCTGTGCAGGTGTTGCATCTGTTGCTAATGACTGGCATCAGCAAAGTGTTTGTGGAATTCAGGATGGCAGTTTGAAGCAAATCGTTCTCAGAATGGCGGCAAGTATACGAAGATAAAACTGCCTGTTTCGTTCACCGTCTTCATGTATCCTATTGAACTATGTGGTATCGTTTTTTTGTTGTTTAGAGGAGAGTGAGCAGTTGAATTCGTCGTCGATCGTTTGAGCAGATTCCTCTTTCATAGTGCTGTGTAATTACCAGGAGAATTTAAAGTGTAAAATTGATCCACCATTCCCAATCTGTTGCAAAAAAACCATGCATGTGTTACCGTTTGACATGAAATCACGTTCGATTTAAAGTCAAACGCGTTCGACTTTAAATTTGAAGTCAAACCGGTTCAACTTAAAGCGCTTTTTTTTTCTTTTTCTTTCCCATGTATACTCTAATTTCGCAATAAATAATATTAGAAATCAGTAACTCAATCTTCTTTATTCAACATCTGCAATACACTAGCTTCTACAAAAAAACGTAATTAATTGGTTTTCCCCGAACAGCTTGTTCGAGGAAAACCACATATGTTGCTCTATCTATAAACTCGTAAACACTAAACCCTATGAACATTGGGCAGTCTCTACGAGACTGCCCAATGTAACCCTAAACCACCCTAAACCCTACTACCCTAAAACGACACGCTTGTTATCTTGCTGCATAGTTGTACTGCCCACTATTGTCGATCTTCACGTCATTAACCATTAGTTGATAAGATAAAATAGTAGAAATATGCTTATCCTCTACATATAAACCTCATTTAATGTCCTCAAGACTGTGACAATAGCAAATGAACTTTTGTTCACTCCCTTTTATTTGTTTTCACATTTTCCGTGTGCCCTGCTGTGGCAGTTAGAACTACACTTCATGTTTGCCTTCTTGCATGGGCATTTTGTTGTTTTGCATTTGGTTTTGCAGTTGCATGTGGAAGGAAATTGTGCGCCTGAGTCGATTCTTGTCTTTGCTACTGCTTCTCGGACAGACAACGTCCTTTTCGCAGTATCCATAACGTCAACATCCGCTAGTTCTTCAAATTCCAAAGTCCAGAAGTCAGCCAGCTCTCCAGTGGAATACATTGTTGATAAAATCCCATGTTGAGATTCGAGCCGGTACATTTCTTGATGGTCACAATCATTGACTTCATGTACCCGACAAGGCAAGTACCATGGCTCTGATCTGGCGCGCTCATAATTATCAATCAGAACTCCAACCACATCGCCTTTTTTATAGTCCTCTGGAGCAGCTTGTTTTCTTCGTAAACTGGGGAAAAATAAGCTTTCTAGATCATACAAACTACACTTTGTGTTCAATAACTTTCTCGAAAACACACTTACATTCTTCTGATGTTTTCAGCCGAGGCTAAATATCTCTCGGTGGCTGCTTCTCGAATGGTGCTATGTCGTGATTCTGTTCTAGCATCATTTTCGTTATCGGTCTCAATATCATGATGTGCGCATCGCCCAATTAGATCTTGGCCATCGCTTTTGCTAAGTTCATCTGCGGATCCCATCGCCACTTCTAGATCAAACACTGTTGCTGTTGCAGTCTCCTGCTGAATCAAACTTGTGTCCGGTAATGCGAAATCGTTCGTATCCATCTCCAACGGTACACTGGCGATTTCAATGTCGTGCAGCATGATGATGCTGCTGTTGCTGTCTGAGACCATATTTCGTCCTGTTGAGGCATAGGAGATATGTGAGGCAGTCTGGTTGGTGATGTCTGATAACGCACATACATTGCTTTCATGAGTGACTATGCTAATGCTGTCTGAGTGCATTGCAATTTCATCGAGTCCACTTGAGCTTGCTGTGTGGCTGTGATCATTATTGTCATATGCGAAATCGTTGCTATCTTATCATTTAGAAAGATGGGTTTATAAACTTCTTAATTCAAATCAACCAGGCAAAACAAAAATAAGAAACCTTGAGCACAAACGGAGGTACCCTTTTTCATTTACTTACCTAAACCAAATTGCTCTCGCGCCTCATCGTCTAAGTCGGTTTCATCAACGATATTCTGCGAAGGGAATCTTTCCTTCAAATACTGGTGGAACTGTGGATTAGTATAAGGCTTTTGACCGTAGACAACTGCGTAAGGTGTTTGATTGATTCCTTCTGCGATTGTGGTTTTCATTGCGTATACAAAGATAGGCAAACCAGACGGCCAATCCTTGGTCTGATTGTCTTTCATCCATTTTCCAAGTTTTTCAGACAGTGTCCTGTTTCCTCTTTCGACCAGGCCTTGCGATTGAGGGTGTCTTGGCTGGCTCGTGATCAGCTGCAAGTTGGACCATTGTTTCGGTAGCACTTTCTATATAGAAATCCATTTCATTATTATTCATATTTGCTTTGCCCAATCCACCAATAATACTTACGATAACACCAGCAGTAAACTCTTTACCATTATCAGATTGAAGTATGAGTGGTGCAGATACTGAGCAGAATAGCTTGTGTAGTTTTTCTGCCACTTCATCCGCTTGCTTCGTTCGTAGAGAGTAAGCCCATGAAAACTTTGAATAATGGTCTTTGATATGTAAGATATAACGTTTGCCATTGGCTGTCCGACGTGATTCGAAGTCAATGAGATCCATCTGTTAATACAGTTGCATTAGATACAGACCTGTACATCACATCGCTATACTAAAAATATATGCTTGTTTCTGACTAATATGTACCTGTAGCCGATGTAAAAAACCTTCTGACACTATGGGCTTTGCTGCTGTGGTAGAAAGCAATTTGGTTTTGTGTAAAGCACATCTTGCGCATGCTTTTACAAACAAAGCTACGAGTGCCTTCGGGATGAATGAATGCTTTGACTTGACCTTCGAAAGATGAAACAAATTAGTATTTCACGATATTTCATAGTATTTGCTGGGGTAAAACAAACCTGATTATATGTCGGATCACGAGCACTATGTTGACAAGTAATGTGTGCGTCGACACACACTTTATACATATTTTCTTTGATAGCCACAGGGAGTCCAATATTATTTGCGGCAGTTGTGAGCTTTTCGCAAAGAATGTCATGGTCACCGATCTTGGACAATATGAATGTTTTCCTTATCCAGAATCGAAAGTTTGAATCGCGAACTTCTTTGTCACCCTACAACGCAAGCAGTTGCTTTAGTATATTTATCTTTTGTCCTTGCTATTCTAATAGTTGGTATTTTTATTTACGCTTAAGTGTTTAACCGCATCGTTGTAGTCAGCGCGCTTGACTAGTGCCTTCTCACGTTATTTTGGGGCTAATCCTGCATAGTAGTCGTCAAGGACTTGTTCAAAACGCTGTTTTGAAATCCAAGGTACTTCTTCAGTTGTCTCCACTGTGACCGGTATGGATCTTGATTGTTCCATGTTGTAATTCGCGTTCCATTGAGTTCTATTGCAAGGCAATAATAAAAAAGAAAGAAGGGGCAAAGGGCAGAGGAGTAAAATATCAAAACACGAAAAGATGCGAGTTGCCAGTAAAAAAAAAAATAAACTCGAACGGGTCTAACTTCAAATTTAAAGTCAAACGGCGTTTGAATTGAAGTGAGATGGTCGGATTCGAATTACGACTGCGTCACAATTCGAACCCCAACACATGTTCTTACCAGCGCCTTCTTTGATAGTAAAGCAGCAGTTTGCTACTCCTCCGCTCGTGCTTTTCGCCATTCAGCTTTGCTTTAGTGTTTAATGAGCTAACAAAGATTCGTAAGTTGAAACAAATCAGTGTTCCAAAATGGCAAAAGCTTTTTCTAATGCTATTCTTTAACATTATAGAATAAAGACTTACTTTTATACTGCTTTTTCATTTCTAACACTGGCATTTATGACTGTGGTCATAACGATTACTTTGCCATTGTGCTTTAACAGATCCTTGATAATTCAAATGTTAGAAAAAAAAGTTACAGAAAATAAAAACGCAAAGTCCCTCATCAGCTGTTGTGGGTGGCCCTTGTTAATGTAGTGGCCCTGCCTGCTGCCTTTGAAAAAATTTGGGCCAATGAGCAATATAAGAACACTAGCCCTAGCCGTTTCAAAAAAATCATGGAAACTGAGCTCGGAAAATAACTTCTCCGAGCGGTTAATCATGTAACCGAACCAAAATCCGTTTTTCAGTGGGGTTTTTCACTTCTTACTCAAAATGGAACCGCAAAATCAGCAACAAATCCAATCCCAAGAAACACCCGAGCAACTTCAACCAAAATTAATAGTAATTGCAAATCTAATCGCGCTTTGCTATTTTTTGTTGGCAATAGACAAGATTACAACATGTGTAGAAAATGCCATCAACGCCAAAGTGACGTTGGTAAACCAATCGCAGAGCAGTTACTCCTAACAGTAGACGAAGTACTCAAGCTGATTCCTTCGCGTCAAAATTTGAGGAACTTAGCAGACAATCTCGAAGGTTACAGCCTCGACGCATATGTATAACTTGACGACGATAAGTTGGTGTTGTTAGATTCGCGACTTGTGATCAACATCCGCGATCGTATCCAGGCTGTTGACGGATACCATCACTACGAAGCATATTGAACAGAACCATGAAGAAAGTTCGGCTATTCTTTCCTTTTTCGATGCTCGCAAGATTTCCATGTGCAGGATCAAGCTGACATTCATTTACGATTGTATCGGCGTATGCCAACTTTCTTGTGCAATGGCTGCATCAGCGGCATGGTCGATAGTGAATGGTTACTTCCACTTGAACATCGAACACTCCTATGGGCATAGGGCTGCACCTGCCGTCAAAAATAACGCCGTCCCGTAAAATGTATGTGCAGATCCACGGATTCGAATTGTACACAACAACCGCCAATCGAACGCGCAGCGTCTTCCGAACACGACAATTGTTGTAGCATGTCTCTGCGATGCTGCAAATGCCATCGACTTGGATGCACAACAGCTGCATCGTAACATTATCTGTCAGCTTTGACAAGAAGCGACAAGAATAACGCAGGGGCAAGTGTATTACTGGGATTGCCAGTCGATCCAAGACCAATAATACTACATGACACTAGCTCAGATCGGCAGAGATGCTCGTCGGCAGAGCCGCTGATAAGGGTGTCCGTAAGGTATGTCAAAATGTCCTAAATAATTAGCTACTACTAAATATCAATACATGTGAGGATCGTGTACATGTTCACTTCGATGCATTGCTGAATAGACAAGAACTATTAATATAGAACCAATAAAATTCAATAACCATTACTCAGATTTTCACCTCAGCACAAAACAGTAAGTATTAAAAATTGAGTGGTTATATCAGTAGTTGTATATGTCATGTTATGAAATCAGACTGATACAGAGAAGATATCAGCATGTACAGTACAAGAGAATGAATTTTGATATAAAGAGATGGAAAGTTGGCGCACAAGCTTTCCATGCAGGATAAATTAAGTATAACAACTAATGATGCTAACTGTCCAGGGAAGGAAGGCTCCATGAAAAAACATTTGATACATAGTGTAGAGGAGCTGAGATAATATAACAGAAAAGGCTACAGTACATAGCGTGCTATTTTATAAAGTGTGTGTGCGGGCATAGTAGTAGATATTTATCAATAGAGCTTGATTAGCATTGTATTCTGGAAAACGAATTTTGGTTTGGTTACATGATTAACTGCTTGGAGAAGTTATTTTCTGAAATCCGTTTCAGTGATTTTTTTAAAACAGCTAGGTAGGCATATAAGAACCAATCTAGTTTATAGAATTCCCAACGTAGTACAACCCTCAAATTCAGGTCACACACAGAAATGCCTCCTACCTATTGACTGCAAACACCAGTTTCTCTCTACTGTGTTTAGTTCATGGGAAATCGCAGTTTTAAAAAGGGATATATGTAGTATGTTTATAAAATTAAAAAAAACATAATTAATTTCTATTATGAGTATTCTGATTTAAGATTGCAATTACTCTACTAATATTAGCGTTAGAGACATGAAATCTACAGTTTTGAAATTCTTCGAGGATTGCGAGTTGAATGGTTAGCTTTGTTCTTATTTATAAAAGCTCTATGTAACGCTATCATCATCTAAAGTTGATTGATACTTTAAAGTCTTATATCTCTTTATAAAATAATACTAAAGTTATAAAACAGATACTAGTATGTAGCTGGTAGTTAGGGCAATCTGGCGCTACAAAATTTTTCATCTTTTAGTAGACATTTGAGCTTTTAATTAGACAGAAGTGATTTAATCTTAGGCAGAGTAGATATAAATTTAATCTGACTAGATATGAATAAAAGATAAATAGGATATTAAATAATAGATGAAGTTGATGTAAATAAAAGACACACTAGACATAAGTGAGAGTCAGTAGAGACTTAAATAAAGTTTAAATAAAGTTTATAGAGAGTAATGTTCTAGTCTAATGACTAAGAATATTTATGAGATAAAGTTTTATTAAAGTCTCTACTGACTTTCATTTATGTTCAGTTAGATTCTCATTCATATCTAGTTTGTCTTTATTTACATCAACTTCATCTTTTATTTATGTCTACTTTATCTTCTATTCATGTCCAATCAGACTAATGTATGTCTACTCTGCGTAAGATTAAATCCCTTCTGCCAGATCAAAAGCTCAAATGTCTGCTATGAGATGAAAAATCCTATATATATATTATAATATACATATAATAATTATTATTATCCTTATTTTACTTCTTCTCCTTTTTCTCCTATTTTTTACTCTTACTTATCATTATTAATTTTATAAAACAAGCACGATCTCATATATGCTTAGTTAAATATAGATATCAAAATTTATAAAAACTTTTTTTTATTAGGAAAAAGCTAATATGAAACTGATCTTAATGTACAAAACTTTAATCGCTTCGTTCCCGCCTTCTACTAGACACTAAGCCACAAAATAAACACTACCTGATAGGTCACGAGCTAATGTTTTTCTATATTAATTCGAGGCCCCGATGGTGCATGTAATTATAGAAAACTGGATTGGTTCTTATAATGTACAATAACTGAAAGATTTGCTACCGAAATCGCCTATGAGGGTTAACTATTAATATAGTGATTAAAAAAATTTAATAATCTATAATTTCTTTTTATTTATCAAAAAACAAAAACAAATTATTATTTTTTTCTTTAAGTCCTTGAAAATATAAATCTTTGATTTATATTTAGCGACTAAAAGGAGCTATAAACTGGGGGTTATCCCCTTTAAGTCTTTTTATCAAATAAAAAAGAATTTATTCTTTTTAGTGAAACGAAGTTTCACTCTTTTTAATAAATTAAAAGGTAAGAAGCAAGGCTTCGCCTCAAAAATTGTAAATTTTTGATTTAAAAAAAGACTTGAAGGGTCTAAAGACCCAAAAAGTATTAGCTTCGCTAAAATAAAATAATTTTTTTTTTAGACTTAAAGAAAAAAAATAAAATAATTATTTTTTTGATTTTTTAAAATGTAATATGGAAATATAAAAATATAAATTCTAGAATTTAATTTTTAATATTTCTCAAATGAGATAAGAAAACATAATAATTTTATACAATCTAGTGATTGAAAAAATTTTATAGTTTTCAAAATATTTATTAATAATATTTATTCTTCTATGATTAGCTGAGGCCAGAATTTGTTCGTCGGAAATGAATGAGGCGGAGAGTCCCACACACTTCGTGTCAATATGTATTTGATTTCTTGGTGTAGTTGGTTATCACGTCTGTCTAACACACAGACGGTCGGCGGTTCGAGTCCGCCAGAAATCATGTAATGTGATACACTAATTATTTTACTACACTAGTGTGTCGTTGTCGAAGTCTTTTTGGCGGATCAATACTGTAGCCAATAGAAGAGAGATAACAAAGGTTGCTCTTATTTCGCTCCGAACAGAGAACCCAAAACAGTTTTACAAAAATTTAAAGTCCTCTCTACTCGGATCAAGATAAAGGTGCAACGCACCGAGAAACTTCCTTTTCTATACATACCCCGAGGTGTTGCATAAATAACAACGCGATTGTGAATAATAGCTGATGGTGGAATGTTGTTCATTTTTTGATACAAGCAGATAAAATAGATGAATAATAGAGGTGTATTTTTCTTTCAAACTTTTATTATTCATGAAGTGACAGTTCCTTTTATATCGATCCGAGTGAGCCACCACAGAGGCCTTTCCATCGGAGAAGCCTTTACCAAAATTGGAGGCCTCTGAGAAGCCCTCTTTTGGAAGGAAAACGGAAAATTTATTTTCCATTACTACATTGGGGTATGGTGTTCTCTGTTCGGAGCGAAATGAGAGCAACCAAAAGAATCTATTATTAAAATGAATTAGTACTTACAACTTATAACTCCGCAGTAACTCTAAAAAGGAAATCTATGAGCCAGCCACCAGCTTTTTTTAACGTGTTCCTGAATACTGTTCAGCCTCCACCTTTCTTATTCTCAAATCAAAGAGTTTTTTCTGTTAAAATGAGTTCCCAAGAGGTATGTCTTTTAAGCTGAAAATATAACCGTCTGCTTTTTCTGAAATCGCGAGCATTCACTGAGATTCCTGGAGACTGCATTCTTAAACTGATTGAATACATATTAACTTCTTATTTAACTTCTCATGTGGAGCAGCAACAGCCCACCATTCGCACATGTGTTTGTGGATCAACCACTCATCAACGCACCACCTTTTTAGGATGTCGTTTGAATCTGCGTAATATTCGGCGTAGAACTAAGGAGGAGAATGTACGTTCACTGATAATCACTTTGAGTTACGTGAATAAGTTGTATTGAAATATAAGAGTATCTCCAACGGTCGTTCTAAAATTTTTCTAAAATGGAACGCCGCTATCCTAGCAGGACCATAGAATTGCCGTGGTTTTTCCAACGGTCGCGCTATTCTAAAACTGGCTATTGAATTTACTCCTCTGCTCTTTCTACTTCAACCACTCATTTCACAATGTCAAGCCAAAATATTTGCAGCCTAAAACAAATGTTCGATGAAGACATCGAGGAAGAACGCCAATGTCAGCACAGAGTTGAGCGTCTTCAGAGAATCGTTGCAGCTGATGACCAAGACGACGATCAAGTGAGAAAACCCAGAAAAGGCTCTGTTCCTAGTCATCTCGTCATTAACCGCGATCGCGTTGGAGGTCATTGGTGTTTATACAATGACTATTTTGGCGACAATCCTGTTTACCTAGAATACAAGTTCCGTACTCGTTTTCGCATGAGTCGTCGGCTTTTCGAACGGATCGTAAGCGAATTGGAGCAGAAAGATGCCTTCTTTCCACAGAAGTATGACGCGGCTCATATGCCTGGATTGACACCGCTGCAGAAAGCGACGGCAGCAATTCGTCAACTGGCATATGGCGTATCTGCCGATGCGACCGACGAATATGTTCGCCTAGGTGCAAGCACTGCTCTTGAGTGCCTAAAGCGCTTCTGCTTAGCAATCAGCCGCATCTTTGGTGACGAATACCTGCGCTCACCAAATGAGGATGATATCAAGCGGCTTCTTGATATGGCGGAAAAACGCGGATTCCCTGGCATGCTCGGTTCCTTGGACTGCATGCATTGGGAATGGAAAAACTGTCCTGCCGGATGGAAAGGCCAATATCAAGGCAAAGAGAAGAAAGCTACAGTAATTCTTGAGGCTGTAGCAGACTTCGAAACATGGATCTGGCACGCGTTCTTCGGTCTCCCAGGTACACTGAATGACATCAATGTCTTGCAGCGTTCCCCCATCTTCGATGATCTGGCATCTGATGTTACGTCGCCCGTCAACTTTTCTGTCAATGGCCACAAATACACCAAAGGCTATTATTTAGTTGATGGTATTTATTCACCGTAGGCTACGTTTATGGATTCAATCACTCATCTGATTGAGAAGAAAAAAAAGGTAAATTTTAACAATGCATATGGAGGGCAGCAACTCTAACTACTTATATAGTTGTTTGCCTGTATACAAGAAGCGTACCATAAGGATGTCGAGCGT